AACTACTAACGCAGATTTGTTTGCTTTCAGCCATGCAGATATGTCGGGTATCCCGAAGGAAATTGCCACACACAAACTGAACATCAACCCATTCCACTCCCCGATAAGGCATGTCAGACATAAGTTCAACTCCGCGATTAATGACACGGTATGAGAAAAAGTGGAGAAAGTATTGGAAAATGGCTCAATTAGGGAGTCGAAGTATCCTCAATGGGTCACCGACGTGGTGATGGTGAAAACGAAGAATGGAAAATGGCAGATGTGCGTGGATTTCACATATTTGAACAAATCATGCCCCAAGGATTCGTTCCTATTACCCTACATCGACCAACTCATCAACTCAACGGTCGGACATGAACTATTGATCTTCTTGGACGCCTATTCCGGCTACAATCAAATCCTCATGGAAGAAGAATATCAAGAGAAAACCACATTCATCACTCACTAAGGAACATACTTCTACCATATCATGCCCTTCGAGCTGAAAAACGCAGGAGCAACTTACCAATGCTTGGTGACGAGGATGTTCAAACACGAGCTCAGCAAAACAATGAAAGTCTACATAGACGACATGTTAGTCAAGTCCAAAAGGAAAGAAGATCACATCGACCATCTAGGAGAAACCTTCGACATACTCAGACGATACAGAATAAAACTCAACCCCGAAATTAAAGCCATCGAGAGGATACCAGAACACTTGACCACCAAAAAATAAGTTCAAAGGTTGACATGCTGTATCGCCGCCCTTTCGAGATTCATCTCATGATCATCAGACATGTGTCACAAATTCTTCGGCATACTCAAAAAGGACAATGGCCTCCAATGGACTTTTGAGTGCGTCCAAGCCCTGAAGGAGTTGAAAGCGTACCTGTCATCACCACCACTTCTTTCAAAGCCGGAGACAGGGGAACGTCTCCTCACTTACCTCGCTGTATCCGAAGTAGCTGTAAGCGCAGTCCTAGTTCGAAAAAATAAAGGTGCGTAATATCCCATCTATTACATTAGTAAAACATTAGTTGATGCTGAGATGAGGTACCCTCATCTCAAAATATTGGCCTTAACCTTAGTCGTAGCTTCACGAAAACTTAGACCATATTTCGAGTGCCACCCCATCTCGTTCATCACAACTTTCCCCCTAAGGAGCATTCTGCATAAACCTGAGTTATCGGGTAGGTTGGCCAAATGGGCCATCGAACTGAGCGAGCATGATATCACATATTAGACACGAACAACGATAAAGTCACAAGTTTTTGCTAACCTACTTCAGCGCAAAAATAATGCCCGAATTTGAAAGAGAAGTCGTCCACGCTTCTCCCCAAACACATAACCTTTGGGTCTTGTACACTGATGGTGCGTCTAACGCGTTAGGATCCAGACTGGGACTCGTACTCAAAGTCCCAATCGTCGAAGTGATTCGCTAGTCCATAAGGTTCCCGGACATGACTAACAACGAGGCCGAGTATGAGGCCGTAATTGTAGTGTTGGGGCTAGCACTCAAATACGGGGCGAAACAGGTAAGACTACGCTGCGATTCTTAATTCGTTGTCAACCCAGTCATAGGGACTTTCCAAATCAAGGAACAAATATTTCAAAAATGCTAAACCAAAATATGTAAGTTGTTGCTCGAGTTCGATGAATGTCAACTCAACCATATCCCCCGAGCACAGAATGTCGAGGAGGACGACCTCGCCAAATTAGCCGCAACCACCAAAAATATTGCAATCGGAGATAGAAGTGTAGTCCACTTTCTCAACTCATCGATAGACCAAATCGAGGTAAGAACCATAAACCTGACTTGGGACTGGCGCAACCATATTGTTACATACTTACAGGATAGCATATTCCCAGGTGATAAAAAGAGGCTAAGAAACTGAGAATGCAAGCAGCCAGGTACAATATCATCCACAACGACTTGTATAAGAGAACGTACGGCGGCCTTCTGGCGAAATGCTTGGGCCCAAATCATACGTGACGCATCCTTGAAGAGGTCCACGAAGGCCATTGTAGAGCTCATTCCGGCAATCAGGCTTTGGTCAGATGTCTCATACGGGCAGGGTATTACTGGCCCACCATGAAAAAAGAGGCCACATATTTCATGAAAAAATGTGAGCAATGCCAAAAGTATGCCCCAATGATTTAAGCAGGCGAACACCTCCACTCAATCACTTCCCCTTAGCCGTTCATAAAACGAGGAATGGACATCGTGGCCCCCCTCCTGACAGGACGAGGTAATGTACGATTCCTTTTGGTTTTGACTGACTATTTCTCTAAATGAGTAGAAGCAGGAGCGTTCGCCCAAATACGTGAACAGAAAGTGGTCGCCTTCATATGGAAAAACATTGTTTGTTGGTTCGGACTCCCTAAAAAGATCAACTGTGACAACGGACCCCAATTTACCGGAAAGAAGGTCGCTGAATTTTATGAGAAATGACATATCAAAAGAATACTCTCAACGCCATACCATCCTACGGGCAACGGACAAGCGGAGTCCTCCAACAAGTCGATACTGAACATCATGAAGAAAAAACTTGAAGACTCCAAAGGGTTGTGGCAGGAAATATTACCAGAAGTACTCTGGGCCTACCGAACAACGCCGAAGGCGAGCACAGGAGAGACGCCTTACTTGTTAATCTATGGGACTGATGCAGTAATACCAATCGAAGTGTGAGAGCCCAACCTAAGATACTCCCATGAGAGCGGACTGAGGAACGATGAAAGCAGAAGGCAGGAGCTCGACGAAGTCGAAGAACGAAGAGACATGGCCTACATAAGGATGAACACCTAAAAACAACAAGCAGAACACTATTATAACAAAAAGGCAAAAGTCGGGCCACTCAAAGTCTAGGACTACGTGCTTAAAGCTAAAACACAAGCAAGCAAAGACCCATGAGAAGGCAAACTGCGAACAAATTGGGACGGCCCGTACAAGATCAAGGCAACAACGAACAAATGGTCATTCCAACTAGAAACAATGGAAGGAAAGCTACTAACAAACAACTGGAATATCACCCACCTCAAGTTCTTCAACTTCTAAGAGATAAAGCGTCCCCCGAGTCGTACTCTTTTTTTCCTCACTTGAGTTTTGTCTCGATTGGGTTTTCTCAAGGAGGGTTTTAATGAGGCAACGAAGGGGACACTTCAAGTCGAAGTACGCAAAGATGGAGGCACATGACGGCTAGTTCATTGCTCGAGCTCAAGCCTTCTCCAAGTCGACCAATGAAGGGACTAGATAGACTGGGACTAGGACTGGAACGCCAGCCAACGCTAGAAAATTGGTAAATTTCTCCAAAGTGTATGAACAAAGAAACAATGCATGAAGTTTATGCTAGTACAGATATCGAAGCAGCAGATCCAATCAACAGACGCACGCGAAACGACGCAAAGCATCAGAAAAACACACCATAATGATCCACGATGCCATGACGTCACGTTGATCAAGAAACGACGCAACCTCAAAAGTTGCGACTCGTGAAAGGCCACGTCACCATCTCGCCCCACCTTCTCGACCATGACGAACAAAATCCGCTCATCAAGGTCGTCTGAGGTCGGCCTCAATATGCGGAGGGACTAACTGTATAGATCGAAATCTGCTCTAAAATATTTTAGGGCAATAAAGCACTAAGGAATGGGTCAATCGAGGTCGGCCAGGAAGCAGTAAGGTTTGTGGTCGAGATGTCAACAACAGATGAGATCGAATACCATTAGTAGAGTCGTAACGACTAATTTTCAAAATGGGATATTAAAGAGAATATTCTAGTGGATGTTTTCTGAACTTGTATTATTAGGGTATGTTAGTGGTATGTCTCATATATATATATATATATATAGAAAAAAGAGACAGTGATGTAGGGCATGCAACATTCATTTGATAAGAACAAACTTTTGATGAAAGATTCTCTCTCTTATAAAGATACAAACACTACATTTTCATTAAGATTCTTGTTCATATTATTCCACACTTTTCCATCAGATCCGAGAACAACTCGAACATTCGAGGATTTATCCGTCACTTATCATTGTCATGAGGGACAATCATCTAGCCCATCCTTTGTTAGGTGAATCACTTTTTTTCTTATTTACTTAAATGACATTTAATGTTATTTATTGTTAGTTCTCCCCTCATTATTGCTCGCATTTTTTAGAACAATCAATGTATGTGATAGTCAACACACTTCGAGATTTGTTTAAGGTTACTTATATATTCTAAGCTCACATCTAGAGATATTATTTTTAACTAGGTTTAACCCATTATTTTACAAACTTATTCTTTTAGCCGTAAGTCATACTTTTGGGTCAAACACTTCCTCCGTTCTTCCCTCTTCCTTTCGTTTTTCTTTTTTCCTTTCTCAAGCTCATACACCAACCTCTCAAATAACTGCCAAGTGATTTAGAACTACATTCTTCTGCTAAATACGGGAAGGCTATTCAATTATTAAAGAACTGTCGCATTCCTTCTTCAAACAACTGTACAAAACATACTACTCAGTTGAAATAGCACAATTTTTTTTTCTTTCATGTAAATCACATTTGTTGAGGAATTGTATTATTGTCTTCTCATATAATCTTGAGCAATCCACGCTTAATGAGCTAACATTTAGAATTGAATTGATCCAGTATCCATTTTCTTTATATATAGTATCAAAGCCCGACTCATCCTCGTTTTTGGTTACCCAATGATGTGCCCTCATTCTATATTGTTCACGCAATACATGTCAAGACAGTTTTAAAATCTCACATTGGTTAAAGGAATGTGTTACCACTTGCTTGATAGTTTGGACAATCCTTACCTTTGGAACTAACTTTTCGGGTTAGGTTAGATTGAATGCCCATTTTTCTCACAATTCAAGCGGTCTTCCACATAATTGTAAGACCATAGTACACAGTTTCTTTTACTGTTAGCCCACAGCTAGATAAGAGAATTGAAATGCAAAGTTATACATTACATTTCCCTACATAAGATAACAAACAACTGAAAAGAAAAGCAAAAATATGGAAAAAGATGAAGAAAGCAACACCTGGACCTCTTCTAGTGATATATACATTTCAAATGGGTTATCTATCTTTACATCCCGTATTGGCTCAAACACTCTAACATCGAATTGAACTACATATACACCACAGTACCTGACCTCTTCTTTCCATCCGTGATGGGGTGAGAGGTCAGGAAAGCGGAAAGAAGGGAGGGGGGGCTCAAATATACACTGCAGCAAAGGCATTGACCACGGGTAGGAACTGCTCTCGATGCGCTCTCAAAGGATCAAACACCTTAACTCAGTGTTCAAATACAGATTCTGAAAAAAGCATCCAGATTACTTCCACCAAAACTTTGAGGATCCAATGGGAAGAAAAGAGCTGCAGGAGAAATTACATAAAATATACCTTAGATCTACTAATAAAACTAAGTCTAGCGAGACCAGTAGATTGCAAAAAAACATCAGAGTCAATCCAAGGATGCATAGCAGAGAGGTGTGTGGTACTAAAAGACTGACAAGAACCTGTCCTGATAAGACAGGCAAGAAGTTCTATATCCCTACCAAAGCAGCATCGTTATCATATTTGCCACTTGAAGTATGAACTAGTGCAGTTGAGAAAGTAACAAGTTAAACTACAAAACATCTATGAAGAATGTGAAAAGAAAGATAATTTTTGTAGGAGTCAGCGAAATGAAAGGCTAAATTCAGAGGTTCTTTCCAATAAAGGGGCTAAATCTCAAAGGATTGGGAAACCAGCCTGACGCATTACCCTCCTCTCTAAAGCCCATGAAACTGGTCATATCACACAGACCACATGGCCCAACTCAATGCTTGGACAGGGGGAACCAGTAATCTGCCAATCATAGCCCTACCAACTGGATTAGCCCAATGTTCCATCAATTAAAGCATCCATTGGGTTACAGGCCCTCGTAAAAAGGCCTGTATAAATCTCAGGCGACTGTGATAATATATATTCTTCTTTTCATTTCCAAAGCAGCAGTTCCATTAATAAGAACCCTTTTTAGCTCCTCCCCACCAAACCAAAATGTCTCACCTATATAGCAGTATACTATGATTCACTCAGAAAATACTTAAGCATTTTAGTTCTCCACTTTGAATTAGTAATTCATTTTTTTTTAAACTTTCCAATTCCATAAGTTTTTATCAATCTCTAGAATCTGAGGACCAGTTGATTTTATCCTTAAAAACCGTGAAAAAACCTATGTATTTTGACACGGGCGGAAATTCTATTTCTATAACACATCTCTTTCTTCTTTCACATTGCCAATCATTTTCTGATACACTGATGACTCAAGTGACTAAAACAGAAGTACTCATAAAATGATTGTGCTAATTATCTAAAACTGAGTTCTACAATTAAATGGTAGAAACTTTTGCTAACTCAACTGAAGCAATGGCAGGAAATAAGGTAAACATGGTAGCATTTTGAAATTCTAACGCTACAGTTGAGCAACTGGCTATCACTAGCAAAAATTGATGACCAAGGGAAATTTGGCACTTACAACAAGGTTTCAAAGCCTCTTGCCTAGATTGTGAGGAGAAGCTGAGCCCGAGGAAGAGGGAAGTGTTCGTTTCACAAAAGGATGCTCCAAGAGCTGAGAAGCAGTTGGACGAGCACTTGGATCCACTTGAAGACACTGGTTAATAAAATTGCGTGCATCTATTGAGAGAGTATTAGGGACAGGTGGAGGTTCCCCCTTTCCAATCCTAAACAGAGCCTGCATTTGCTGTTCCACAGAGAAAATTTATGGTCACTGTCCAAAACAATAGTGAGANTTTGTCTTTTTTCATAAACAAGCTAACTCAATTGCACAAGGATAGCACTTTCTAAGCTGAACAAATTCAGAAATTTAACAAAAGAACTTATAGCATTTGACACGAAACAGCTATTGATCATGTATTATAGTAATTTCCAAACTTATAGACTTAGATTTTCATTCCATGTCCGAAAAAGAATTTCAGTAATTTTATCATTTTAAGTCAATATAGAGAAGAAACTCCACCAATCAATAATATATATACATACGCACACACACATATACATATATATATATATATATATATATATATAGGGTCTTGCTAGCATACTACATTGCAATGTACCCATTTTCTCTTTCTCCAAAATAACCCTTACTTTCATGTTATCTATTCATTAACTACAAAGGCACTTTGGCCTTTTTATCAAAACCCAGCTAATTCCTCTTTTTCTCTCTATCACCTGTTCTCTTCTTCCCCCGTTCTTTTGCCCTTTTCTTCTCCTGTTTTGCCATGGATGATGAATCCCAAACCAACTAGCAGTAAGTTTTGAAGTTTGACTGGTTGATTGAAATTCAAGTAATAATTATAGTAACTTTTTCAGTAGTGGGAGGATTTGATAATTGGATCTGGGAATCTAAAAGAATAGAGTAGAACGACCTATCTTGAATATAACTAGCAAAAGAACATTTAACAAAGCAAAGTACCATAAACAAACACTTTTTTTATAATTGAGAATTCCCTGAAGTCCAGCGGCACACGGTTCGGAACTCAATGGATAATGGGACCGCATAAACAAACACATTTTGAGTGAGAACATAGAGCCCAAACATCTACCACTAATGATGCACACCTCCAAAAATTCTCCACCTTAGAATAAGTGGAAAAAGAGAAGACCAAGGTATAAGAGGTAAAAGGCATGGAAAACCCAACATTTCTATATTCATTTCATTTAGGTACAAATACAATTTGGTTTAGACAGCTTAATCAAGAGTTTAATTATACTCTCTGTGTTTCAACAACAATTCTACTCATCCATTCTAAAATAGACACCCTTGTGCACATCGTTCAATCAAAGTGAATAACTAGCAATCAAATTTCAAAACAATTATAGGCAACTTACATTTAGCATGAATTAGATCTGCCGGATTAAGGAATAGTCCCTCATCTGGCAGCACGAATACCATTTCCGCAATAACAGTTCATACTTGTCCAGATTTTACCAATAACAAGTACCACACAAGCAGGAGGTTACAAAATCAAAGCCATTGAAGAGCATGTTTAACCAATCAAAATTTAATGAAGACAAAAATATGAAGTTCGTGTTTACATTTTCTAAGTGGGAGTAAGGAAACTGGCGAGTAAGCATCTCTAAGACAGTGCAGCCAAGGCTCCATATATCAGCCGCTTGTCCATAGCCTTGGTTCTTCCTGTTCACAACCTGCATAGAGGATGAGTCATAATAATGAGCACCTAAAACTAATGCCAATTGAACTCATGGAGAGAAGAAAAGAAGATACTTTCTGATATGCTACTGTAAAAATAGTAGATTGCGTGAAGAATCTCGAATTAAATAATGAATCTGTTGACAACCCACAATGTAACTACAAAATCTATGTGGTAAAAACGATTTTGCAACAATACACTTATAACTTGCAAAATTATATGTATGACTAACTAGTGATATAAGTGCATGCGCTTCTCACCCAGAAATAATCTATCCCCTACTTGTTTTACCTATACAACCTTATCTTTAAGTCCCGGTTCTACAATATTTCCCACCCCATTCCTATTTTTTTCTATCCCACAATACCATAATTTATAACTTGCATTACCTATCTCTCTAGCCTTCTGCCCTATCCATTTAGCTTCTTGTAGGCATGCAATATCAACTCTCCTCCTTTTTAGGGTATCCACTGATTAGTGATATAAGGGCATTAACATCGCCCAAAAATAATCCTATCCCCAACTCATTTTACCTACAACCTTATCTTTAAGTAGTGGTTCTACAATAATTCCCACCACATTCCTTTTTTTTTCTATCCCACAATATCATAATCTATAATCGTGTTACCTATCTCTCTAGCCTTTTGCCTTGTCCATTTAGGTTCCTATACGCATGCAATCAAAAAAGGGTATCCACTAATTACATTGACTTCCCTGTTAAAATGTGTATGTTCCGGCTACCTACCCGAATCGAACTCTCTTGGTCTAGCTTCTGTACCCTCATCCATCCATGATGCTAGAATCCGTTCATATTTTGCACCACATCAGGACACTGATGTGGCGGATTGCTAAGAAGAAAGTACACAAGAACCCTAACTCATTTGCACTTTCAACTATACTCTAAAAAAAGAGGGGGCAAAAAACTCTTCAAAGATCTGATTTCCATTAATATTAAGTTGCGAAAATTCACCAAAATTGATGTTTTTATTCACACCAAAACAGGCCCCTCAAGTGATTTGCAAAATTACATACATATTTAGATTAGCCAATTTCCTGTTAATCATCAAAAGATAAATCAAAGCTTACTTCAGGAGCCATCCAGAGAGCAGTACCCTTGCAAGACTTGGCATCATTTAACTTAGTAGCCTGCATGTTGCATGAATCCGCATATCAGAAATTATCACATAAATGAAAAGATTAAAAAATCCTGGAAGTGTGGAAGACAATAAAAGCATCAGAATGAGAAAGACAAAAGAGAGGACAAGGACAAGATGATGTTACAACCTTTGCAAGGCCAAAATCAGCAAGCTTGACCGATCCGTTAGCATCCACCAATATATTAGCACATTTAATATCTCTACAAGAAAAATAACATACAAGAATATCAGAATCCTAAAGAACAAATTTAAGTTATTCTGCAGACATTTTTATAGATTTGGATCAACCACTTTCAACTGAAAACAAGAAAATAAATTGTAAAACAAAAGGTTATAAACTAAAGGAAAACAATTTTTCATGTAAATCTTTAATGAATAAACTTTCATTTAGATCTTTGACTGGTAGATTTTTGTTTAAAGGGCCACTTTATCAACCATCTTTCACATATCACAATCCAGATAACTATGCTGCTAACTAGTCACATGCCTTTTCTTTATAAATACAAATTAGTCACACACTAGCATAAGTATGCTTGAGTATCCAGATCAATTAACGCCATAGTCATGATTCCTCATCTTCCTAAACTTTGACACCAAAACAGACGAGAAAACAGTTCATACAAATATCCTAGAGTCCATGAAAACAGACGACAAAACTGATCCAGAACGGTCAATTAAATAACTTGGCACGACTAAATCAAGATGTTTAATTTATTGATCAACAAATTAAACATTTAGTAAATCAAAATTATTAATTAAATGTCATAACTTGCAACAATCTGCAAACAACTTCTACCATTACTCAAAACGGAGAGTTGGCTCAATTCCTGAATTCACTATCCAGTGTATCATGAAAGTAGACTTAAGACATGAATAAAACCAAACAAAATTGGTAAAACAGATTAAAAAAATTGATATAAAGAAGGGGCAGCATAGATAGCAAACATTTGTTGTTCTGATTTGTCACCTGTGAACCACATTTCGGTCATGCAAATACTTCAAACCATGTAAAATCTGCCTTGTGTAGACGGATACTTGCGAATCTCGAAGGTGATATTTCTGGTAAAGGCTCAACAGAGATCCTTGCGTAACCAGCTCAAGAAAGATGTACAATTTTGAATCATCCTGCAAAAAATTTAACCAGAAGTGAGCAAAAAGATTAAGCACATAGAGAAGATTGATATACAAAGTAAAAGAGATCGAATTATTTTTAAGACAGTTAGCTTATCCAGTATAGTCCTGGTACTGAAAGATGTGACAACCGAAGTGAACTTTTGAAAGGACATACACAGACAAAAAATAAACCAATTTCAAAGGTTGAAAAAAAAAAACCATTAAGCTGCCAAACGGGGAGGGTGAGATATACATACCAAAGACAGAAGAAATTTGGCTAGGTAAAAAGCATTTCTGCATATGGGATCAACATGCGTGAACAATAATGTGCACTCTTCGGACCAAAGGCTTTTAGATACAAAAGTAACATTCACAGGGAAAGAGCTAGAGAACTATTCCTCTCAGAGGAGGAGCTTCGGGAAGCAAGCAGAAGCACAAAATAAAGAAAGCATTACCTTGTCAGTTCCATAATATCGAACTATGTTCTCATGTTCGAACTGACTTAGAAGCTCAATCTCCTAAAAAGAACAAGACAAATGAAATAACAAAAGCAAATCAGTGAATATTCCACCAAAGGTAAAATAGAGGCCACCAAAAAGTACAAAGGAGTAAACATGAGAATCTAGGAATATTATGACAATTTCACCTTTTCAAAAATGATAATTTCATATGCACATAATAGTAGATTAATCAACTTTAGGTCCTACACTATGGTTGGTCCAGGAAACAGGGTAAGGCAAGAGGCAGAAGACAAACTGAGCCTCTTCAGCAAAAAAAAAAACTTTAGTTTGACATTGATTGGTATGCTGCTAGAGAAGAGAAAAATTCAGTTCTATATCAACTTCATCATTCAAACTTATTTCACAGATGTTATAGAAAGATGGTCCATTTCTGTTCCAAATACCTCTTTTTGTTCCACTTTGTTGAAGACGTATTAAGTAATTAAAGCGTGCTCTCTCTAAAAGCGTTATCGTTTAAATGAGATAGTCACACACTTCAACAATGTACCAAAGTAGGCAAAGGTCTTGGGTTCAAGTCTCACTGCCACCCATTATCCAAGAAAGAATCTCTACGTGCTCGGCTCATCAAAGAATCAAGCGTACACGTGGGTGTGTTGAAGACTTATTTAAGTAATTAAAGTGTGCTCTCTCTAAAAGCTTAAGCTTTTAGATGAGATGGTCACACACGTCAACACACTTCTTTTATTTTTTATTGAAGGTATCTTCCAATTGCACAAATAAATAATTTTTGATAAGTTCCTGCACCACCAAAAAATATTGTCACCAACCTGTTCAAGTTGGTATAGACTTTGCCTTCCCCCATCGCCTTGATCAAGTAATGACACTTCCTTCACGGCAAAAAAGAAACCATCACTGCAGCAATATGAACACAAAAGAGGTTACTTTTCAATTTCAAAAAATGAGAGTGCGGGGAAGGTTTAGCAAGTCGGCAAGTTCTAAAATTCTGAAAAAAATATAAACATTTGAAATATTGAGTATGCAAGAAAACTATAATTTTATGAAGCACATATTAATCTATTCTTTCCTTTGATGTTCTGGGTGATTACTCCAACATCTTTTCAGCCTGACTTCTTTTTGAGAATGAAATTTTTTTTGAGGATGAGCCTGACTTCTGTAAATGACATTCTAGACGTGTTCAGTGCTTTGCACAATCTTTAATGCTACTGGAGCACTTTCTCAGTGCTAACTTCCTATCAATAAAAGCTTACACTTATATATCAAAAGAGTGGAACATATTGGACACATCAATAAGTCATTACTGCATAAGCGAACAAGGCAAATATTCCTAGTAGCCATTAAGTTTTCTAACATTTTATAGTCAGATTAACAAATATATTATGTCTATTGAGTTTTGACAAGTAGTCACACATATACTCTATTTAAGTGTGTGCTCCTAATTGTAGGCAACCTTAAATTGCACTGTATCTTCATACAGTACCTATTCACAAGTCTATTTCCTTAATAATTGATAATCTCTTGAGAAATAGTTTTTCTCATACTCACTTTGTTTTATATTACATAGCTAATAGCTTCCATTACCAAATGGTTAAGTCCCTTGAGATTTAGAACCACAAATAACATTTTGTGGTATTTTAAATCTTAATACATCAAACAGTATATAAAACTTCATTCCTTGGAGCTTTATTTAGTATTCCCACTTACAAACAGGCACTTATTCTTTCCTTCAAGTTAACTGAAGGCTATCAGAAATGTATCTCCTAGTCTATTAATTTCAAGGCAATAGAGATTTTGCACCAAAATTACGAAGAGGGTAGCTGCTAATAAAGTATTTGCTCCACCAAATAAAGAACCCAATAATAAAAGCTAATACTATTTGTTTCTACAAAATCATGCTCAAAATAGGAAAGCAAAAAAGAAACTGAATATGAGTCTTAAAAATGACAGGTTTACTCTGAAATTCCTTTATATACAGATCCAAAAGATCCACGTCCCAGGAGATCAACTTTGTCCCAGTATGTAATGTAGGGTGCGAATCTCCCATTCGGTGAGATGCTTGACATACGCTCAGTCGTGGAGCTAGAAGAGTCATCGTCATTCGAAGTAGTGGTGAAAGAACAGGACTCCGATAGTAAGTTACTCACTCCTATTCTTCTCCTACTAGTACTATTATCCTCCTCATCCACCTCATTCTTAACACATTCTGCATCACCATTGACAACCTCAGATCTACAAAGCCCTGATTCCCTATGATCTTTGGGGCCAAATGCCCTAAAAATATCCCAAGTAGAGCATGATGCGTCATCAACAATTGGCAGTGACATGACTGGTGGAGGAGCCAGAAGCGGTGGCCTTACACCCTTAATCCCTCCACCTCCACCACCAACACATCCAATTAAACTTACAGGTTCATTTCCATTTAAAACAACTCCGGACCCTGTAACACCGTCTTCTAATCTAATTGTATCGGTTTTAGACACGCCACTAATCACACTAGCAGCGCAAACAACTCCACTATCCTCATCATTTAACTTGCCTGACTGAATTTGCAGCTGAATTACATCACTAGCTTTAGAAGGATTATCATAATATCGAAAAATATTATCCTTAATTTTGTTACTACCAAGATCAATTACCTCCGATGAGGAGGAGGAACGCAACTGCATAGCATCCCATTCAGCGGCAGGGATAGCGAAATCATCAGGACCAGAAAACCCTAATTTTTCAAAAAAATTATCAAGCAATTCACTATCATGCCCTTCGATTCGAAAGCTCTTATTATCGCCGCTGAACTCAAGCATACACGGGTCGTAATCAATATCTTTGCGAGCGTTGAGGCGCTCGAGTTTCGGCTTTGCTTTAACGGAGGAGGAAACGGCACGCTTTTGCTTAGAGTCGACGCGTTTCTTATGAGCAAAAATTCCTGGCAATCGATGCATTGCCAGTTTCAGCTCGATCCATGTATTAATATTATACCACTGGCAAAAAATTAGGAGTATTACTCACTAAAAGAATAAAAGACGAAGCTCTTGATATGAAAAATTGCAGAATTTGTGGGTAGGGTTTTGCCGGGAAGAGTAGGTGAATTGCGGAGGAAGAGAGAGAGAAATGAAGGGTAAACGCCGTCCGTCAGATGTAGGACCCGACGGAGACAGAAAACGCGGTGTTTATGTGGGGTGCGGAGTGAATGTGTTATCACTTTTTATTTGGACACGCTGGATTTCACGTTCCATGATTGGGTAACGTAAATAAACTACAGCAGAACCAAGACACGAATCCAATGATTTTTAAATAATAGTTGCTGCGTACACTAGTATCACTACTGCTACTTTTTTTTGGGCAGAAATACAGGAGATTTAGTAGGTGTTCGAACATTTTTTTTTTTTTTAAAAGAGAGATTTAAAAAAAATACTTTTTGAAATTAAGTTATTGTAAATTTGTGAGAGGAAAATATTATTTATATAGCCAAATGACGAAAAGAAAATTGATGTACAAAGTGGATAGTCCAAGTCGTACATGGAACAAAGTCACAAACTCTCTCCAAAGTGTCAGTTCCATGAAACTTTAATTCCTTTGCATTGTGATTGTCTAAATTAAGATATTAAAAGAAGCTGCCTCGTTTAGAAAAATCAATTTTTTTCTTTTATAACATCAAAGCTGAATAATACATTATATTAGTAATTTATAAGGTAAATGAAGCTGCGAGTCATTTGAAGAAAAAATAACCTAACGAGTTGGTAAAACAATAACTCAAGTAATTAAACCTGTATCAACGTCAATACTAAGGATGCGAGACTGTAGTATCAAACCAGAAAATTGTGGAAGATATACCAATAATTGCCTGAACCAACTTTTTCCTTTTAGGAAAATGAAATTAGTACTCCATCCATCTCATATTATGTGTCATATTTCTTTTTTATACTGCTCTTAAGAAATATTAATTAGAAAAGGAATTGTAATATTCTACCTTTATTTATGTCTTAAGATATAATCTTTATTCATTGAATATTTATTCTATTTATGTGTTATCTCCATCTTTATATGTTATCTCCATCTTCAAGAACAATTAAGGGTAAAAAAGGAAAAAATAATCAATTCTGTCTTGAACTTCTAAAATGACAAATAATTTGAGACATCTATTTTTAGTAACCAAGACTATTAATATGAGACGGAAGGAGTAAGAAAGATCCGGTCGCTTTAGAGGCACACAAGATTGAACTAACCCTAGGCATGAAACATATATGTAAGGCGTTTTATCGTCTCAGGATGTGCAGAGGCTGCGTCGTTTGGGATGAATTTCATCTTTATACTAACACTGTAACACATACCACAATTTTTTCCACACATTACTTTCAACTTAATAATTAGTTCAGTACTTCATTATTTTGAAGCAAAAAAAAAAGGCACGAGCATTTCAAAAAGGACAAAGATCTGCTTTAGTTTACTTCTAATCACCGAACTGTCGGAATTAATAATGGGAATATCAAGCGTAACACAGATAAAATACTTTTTACATCTAATTACTAAAGACGAACTCGTCTCTAAGCCAAATGACCAATCCAAAATAAAGTTTAAAAGGCAGTTTGGGACGTTTTAAGAAAGAGAACAGAAAGGAAACGATGACTACAGGATAAGATCAAGAGAGAACAAGGAAAGGTCGTGTTTTATACATAAAAATTGTTAGGAAGTTTCGTTGTTGTTATTATGAAGTCGCGATACCTTGGCTTAATTATATGTCAGCTGTTGGGTTGGGGACCGGCCAAAAGGTGTCGTAGAGACCCATCTTAGTGGAGCAAGAGCAAAATATCTCTGCAATTTACTTGTAGTTACTTGCAGCCTATTACGACGTTGGGATCTTGCTTTACTAGTTACTACAACTCCAACAGCTCCTCTAAATTCTCTATAATAAAAAAAACGGGATTATTACGGTGGCTATTTTTGCATATAGTAGTAGTTCTAAACCACCATAATCTACCAAAATGGCGGTTCTCATCACTGTCGGAATCGCTGCCGCCACAACGTATATTGTAGCGGTTCCCTATTAACCGACGAAATGTGCACTAGTCGACATGGATTTCTAAATCGTTTATTATGGCGATCATAACCGCTATTATTGCAAAAAGTTTCGTAAAATTCTTTGTTGTTTAATATGGTGGTTTTAACCGCCATTATTGCTTTAATTATATAAAATATTTTTCTATAAATATAATATTTTGACTTTTTAAACCTCCATAATTACAATATTGCAGTTTTAACAATTTAATTTTGTAATTCCACATCTAAATCCTTTTTATTGCCTCCTTACGTAATCAAACATTCATCATTATGCTAATTTTAACACAAATACAGAGTGTATATGGTAAAATTGGTTTATATTAAATGACCGAATAGTAGCGTGATACGTGGAACCGAAGATAGGTAGAAAGTAAATCAAGTAACAATCCGTTCCGGGAACAACAACTGCAGTTGACATCGGATAGACCACGAAGGGAGCATGATCAACGTGAGCAAATCGAATGTTTGCCATCGGATATCATTCAATGAAGAATATTCCCTGACATTAAATGGGCAATCATTGCAGAGAATATTTGCATTCATGATCTGCTATTACATATTCATCAATGGACTATTTATTGTCATTTAAAAGGAGTTGGATCCTAGGATCTTGTTTCCATAGGTATAGCAATAAATAGTAGGCTGAACAGCCATTGTAACACACGAATTTTTGGTAAAACTTATGTTATATTTCATTCTCAAGCTTAATCGGATAACTTCATTCGCTCTTTTACATTGTTCTTATTTCTTTCCTCGGAAGCATCACTTTCGAAGCCAAGCTTGTCATTTCCTTTGATTTTAACCGCTAAGTCTTATTTTTAATCTTGTTTATTTATCATTTTTGGATCAAATCAGTTCGCGTGTCTATAAACCACGTAACAAATTCAATTGTACCATTTTATNACTAACCTCGATGGTATCAACCAGCATAATAGCGGACGGATCTCTAACTACCTTCTTCAACATGCACACATGGAATACCAGGTGTACTAATGACATCTGAGATGGTAGTTCAAGCTTGTACGCCACCTGACCTATCCTTTGAATGATTTTATACGGCTCGACATACCTAGGACTTAATTTCCCTTTCTTTCCAAACCGCATGATCCCCTTCACGGGAGATATCTTCAAGAACACCCAATCATCTTCTTTGTNGGTCCGGATCTCCTGCGGGAATGATTTGGAAGATCCAAAACCAAAAATAGTGGTATTTGCTAGGCATTTTACGGAAAAATAGTTTGGCGCTCACCGTAGGGCTCAAACAGTTACGTAATTGAGTTGATCCTTGCGTTTATTACTAACTTGTATGATTATTTGTTCCTTAGCGAAAAAATCAAAAATGACAGCTAACGATGTCAACATCATGATCCACGTCCAATCCGCACTCAATAGTGAGTGGAAATGGTCGTTGGAAGAATAATCCCAATAAGAGCCTGGGTCGATTACCACAGGGAGTTACTAGGGGTGTTCGGAGTATACACTTGACGAAAGTGGAAGGAATAGCTAAATTGTACTTCCAAAAAAGGTTTTGAGTTCTAATTCTAATTTTACTCTAACAATTATAAGCTAATACAGGAAACTAGAAGCGAATGATTGTTTTTGATGTTTTTCCAAATAGTTAAAAAGCCTAGGGATGTGACCATAACCCAGGTGTTCGCCTAATGGGTTAAATACGTTAATACGTGTTTCATTGATTGGGGTGTATTATAGCTCTCGACCCTACGTTACCCACTCGATACCTCTCGGTCAAAGAGTGATTTTGCCCAATTTGGCTTTCTCAAGTCCAAATGGATATCAAACAAAATAGTTGATATGAGCTCAAGTCGGGTTCTCACTATCTCTAGTTTGAACCCTTTAATTAGGCTAATCAAACCCTCAATTAGCCAAATTCCTTGTTAACCAAGTTATCCTAGACTAGGTCCCTCTTTCTCAAGTAGAAACTAAGTCAAAAAGGCATGAATCAATGTTTGCAACCATTAATTCTAAAATTGAAGTATAAACTAAGCTAAATAATTAATACCCAATCATAAACAAGTATTAAATTAAATACCCATAAGGTTTACATATTAGGGTTGGGTCACAACCCTAGTAAGAATCTAGCTACTCATAGTAAGAATTGAAGAAAATAAAGAAGAAATGCTAATTAAACCCATAATCAAAGATTAAAATGATAAAATATAACGTTTAAACACTAAAATAGTCACAAACTTCATACAATGGCAAAATGTAACGGCAACAACAGCTCAAACTTCGAAACTTGACCTAACAAATGTGAAACTCGTCTATTTATAGTGGCCCAAAATTTACTGACAAAAATACCCCTCGGGAGGTTATATAGCCGCACAATTCCATGTGCGGTCCGCAGATTTCTTCAGTTGCAAGATCTTGGATTCTACAGCCACACAGTTCTGGATTGCGGCTGCGAGGCATCTTCTACGGCCGCACAATTCTTGTGTGGTCCGCACTTCAACAAAGCTTCAGAACTTGGTCTTTTGCACACTCTCTGAACTTTGAATCATTTGTCAGTGCAGACCTTGTTCTGCGGCCGCACATTGGCCAAATTCCTGTTGGGCTCTTTCACTTAATCTGCGGACGCAGATGGAATTCTGCGGTCCGCACTTTCTTCGCAGAAATCCTTTTACGGACCGCACTTCTTTAGTTATGCGCCCTTTCTTGACTTGTGATTCGGAACACTCCTTTTGAGTCGGAATTCATCATGGGAGACCAAACTTCCAACATTCCTATAATTTGCACACTTTCATTAGTTTCGGGAACATAAATCAATACTTTCGAACTAAATTAAAAGAAATAAAATGCTAATAAGTAGACAAAATCCCTACTTATCAACTCCCCCAAACTTAAGCCTTTGCTTGTCCTCAACCAAATAAATTAGTTTCCACCTCCTAGAGTTAAGGGTCATTTCAACGAGTTAAAAGTGAGCCATTCACACTTCAATTAGGGCCAACAATTACCCACACTACTCATGCATGATCAACAAGGTGATAAGTCAAATATTCACACACATATAGTTCTAATGTGATATTTGAGCTTCAAGAATTGACTTTACTCATCAAGGACTCTTGTTCTATCATGTGGGTCATGGTGGAATCCAAACTCTTCCTATTCTACTTTCCATTTTGCCAAGCTCACTTAAGAAATTAGCACTCAATCTTAGGATTTA